CGCACTTTGGATGTGACTGCGCACCGCCTCTGGAGCGCGCAAGTAACGAATGGCTTAAAAAGACGTACAAATAAATAATACAATTTTCTGACGATGCAACAATGACCCGATTAGGCAAGTGACTATTGTCAACTGTCCCGAAACGTGAGTGAAAGTCTTGTAATCGCAGCGTGCAGCGGCTCTTGTAGCGCCGATGTGAAGCCGTTTGAAGAAAAAGTCAAAGAGGGAAGACACGTACAGCTGAATCACTCACGCTGTTTTCAAATGACTGATTTGATCAGTCTGTGTGGACTGGACTCAGTCTGTAGGTTTGATTATTTACTCATCAAACCTACATGCTATAGGCTATTGAATAAATGTGTGAATATCCATCATTTTAAAGTCAAAAGCTGCGGGAATTAGTAAAACTATGCGATATAGCCTATGTGCAATCCCGCACCGAAATGAAAAAAGTGAAAGTGAAGTGACATGTGGCCAAGTGTGGTGACCCATACTTGGAATTAGTGCTCTGCATTTAACCCATCCAAAGTGCACACACACAGCAGTGAACACACACACAGCAGTGAACACACACCCGGAGCAGTGGGCAGCCATTTTTGCTGCAGCGCCCGGGGAGCAGTTGGGGGTTCGGTGCCTTGCTCAAGGGCACCTCAGTCGTGGTATTGAAGGTGGGAGAGAGCGCTGTACATTCACTCCCCCCACCTACAATCCCTGCCGGTATGAGACTCGAACCCACAACCTTTTGGGTTACGAGTCCGACTCTCTAACCATTAGGCCACGACTTCCCCAACTTCCCCAAATTCAGGACCTGATTAAACAATTCTATTATACAGAGTTTTGTGAAATAGATTTCAATGACTTTTCCAAAACTTTCTGGGTTTATTTATTTTTCCAAAACTTTTCCAGGCCTGGAAATTGGTGTTTTAAAATTCCATGACTTTTCCAGTTTTTTCATGACCGTACGAACCCTGACGGCTGGTCTTTGTGGTAATACAGTACATCGCCTATCATTCATCGACCTCAAATATGGCTATTCATCTGAAAGATATATGTAGTAGCAACTTTACATGGTCGCTCAATCTAATGTTAGAGAAATGTGCTCTATTGAAGCGCCTGTGCAGAGTGTGGAAGCTGAACAATAGCACTCACTGAAGGACAGATGGAGGCGCTAGTGTGCTCACTTGCTCAAAATACTCCCTCATTTTTGCTCATACAGGTAGCAGTAATACATCTTTCGAATCTGTAAAGACTACTTTTATTTGTGTGCACAGAATAACAACAAAACGATGCACTTTTGTAAAATAATTAAAGTAAACAGGATGCGGTTTCTGCCGTCTTGGTCTCTGTGAACTTGAGTGCGAAACTCCATGTATAGGCTCTCTTTGCTTTACAGGCATAAACAAATATATCTATAAAGAGTGAAATCTCTACTTTTAAATTAACCAATTCAAATAGAAAAAACTAATATTCTCAAATTATGTAATTTGTATGAAACATGCATACAGGCGCATCACTGTGGAGATGACGAGTCAGCAGCCGGGTTTCCATCCAAAGTTGCAAATTTAACTTATGCGCAAAACTGGAACATCGCATAAAATATTTGCGAACAAGCATCGTTTCCATCCAGCAAGTCAAAGAGAACAAAATCGTCACTTCCTGATAAACTGGCACTATAAATCAGAGAAAGCAGACGAAATGCAATGAATGTGGTCATTGCTTTTGGAGGTGGATGCTGCTGTTTGGGAACGCAGTCGTGTAAGACATTTCAGGGAAACAATTATACAGAAATACTTTGATGACAGACTCTGCTCGTGCATTTCCGAATGACCAAAACAACATTTCAGATGCTGTGGAATGATATCGGTCCGCTGGTTAGTCAGGTTATGCCGTCCCATAGCGCAAAGTCACATGACTTTTTTGATGCACTTGGAGGAATTTATTAGCAAAATGCATGTCCATCTCCCATTATTTGCATTAACAGTATAGTGGTTTCATTCTGGTATTTTCAACCACATGCTTCCTCTCTCTGCCCTCTGAAGATGTCAGCAAACCCAAACACACAACATGATTGACAGGCAGAAAGCATTTATGATTTTTAAACAAGTTCTGCCAGTCCTCGGACTCTATTCTTGCTGTTTAGGACTGTCACAGACACAGATGTGACCAATCTCAGTGATATCAGTCAGATAGGATATTTTATTTTTAGTTGCACTGCAAGAAATAATCATTCATAGGACATTTAGTTACTCACTTACGTGCAAAACACACTTAAACAATCGAGCAACAGAGAAGGTTGCACAATATTAAGTCCACACAATGTGGAAAAATTGTATTCATTTTGGCAGATTACACAAATATTTCACAATGTTTTGACTCTTTGTCTTAAGAAAAAACTGAACCACAAGAAATTCAAGATTAATTGCAATAAAATATCTTAATCTACTGACAGCCCTACTATCCAAGCAAGCAAACGGAGCAAAGAGGCTGAATGGGGGGAAGGCAAGGATCAATCCTGCAGGGTCTGCTCAGGAGTTGTATAAAGAATATACATCAAAAATATACTAATCACAATAAATTGCTCCAGTATCCCAACACTTTTTTGTATGGGAAAAAAATTGTCCGCAGAGATTCCAGGAAATAAAAAGGCGACAAATTCCAATTTTAAAAGATGGAATGACAGGATATGAAGGTCCTTCACCAACCACTGAAGAGCATGGAAATAAAAAACAGCTTTCTTATAGCGGATAAGAACTATTTAAAGGGGTCATAATGTTAACCTAAGGCTAAACTCCAAATGTTCAACTAATCTGTCTGATTGTAATTAAGTTATGAACTAGATTAACCAGTTAACTGAAAACAACTAGCTCAACAGTGATCGGTTCGATCCAGGTGCAGTGGTTTCTCAAGAAACAGTTCACTGGAGGGGGGTCTGGGCCTGTTCCTAAGGCAAAGGCTTTCATACAGCTTCAGAAGACTTGGAAAATAGCTCATAATGGCTGGTCATCTGCCCATGTTGGGCCATCGTTGAATATCAATCAGCCCAGTTTCTGCAGTGTGTTCTGCACCTTTAGCTGCCCCTGTCCGCAGCTTTTTGACCAATTGAGCAGGTTAAATCGCTGGCGGAGCCCATCGGTGAGAGAAATCCCCGTTCAGCCATTGCACAAGATCAAGGTCAAAACGGCATAAAGAGAAAACGCTATTTATTTTTAATTCTCATCTCATCGGTGATGATTTTCATTGATTCTATCTGGTGTGAAAGTCTGATGTAAAAATGTAATAGAAAATTGGTGTGCTTTGTTTACAGCGTGTATATGCACAGTACTAGCTCTTCCAGTTTCCTCTTTTGAATAACGAATACAGACTACTGCCACCTGCTGGCATGGAGAGCTTTTGCTTCTCAAGCAAGCGAAGAACGTGCATGCTAGTTGGTTGTTGGCTGTAGTCTTTGCAATGTGTTCAGGCTCAACTTTTTGGCCCTGATGCAAGCGACACCCCATTCGGCTTTCCTCAGAGCTAGTTGTTAGTTTAGTGTGTTTGGCCTTTGGGTGGAGACACACCAAACCAACGCCAAAGAACTAGCGCTGAGGAAAGCCGCCTGCCAGAAAAGTTGCACTAGAACACACCGGACAGACTACTGCCAATGACCAACTAGCGTATAAGCTCTGCACTTGCGTGAGAGAACATAACTCTCCCATACCAGTAGGTGGCAGTAGTCTGTATTCGGCATTCAAACAGGGAAACCGTCAGAGCTAGAACTGTGGACATATAAAGCAATCAGCGCTTGATTTTAACATTGTTTACACCAGCCGCGCTCATTACTGGCGGATTCGTGTAGCTTTGTTCAATCAAGTTATAAATGGCCCTGGCATTGTCAGCCCTTCTTGTGGATAAAGAAAGAAAGAAATGGATAGAATGACAACAAGTGTCTGTGCGTTCCCTCTTTACTCCGTCATTGGTTTGCTTTCGTCAGTTCGGTTTTTTTTTCTTGTACGCTCATTCGCTAAGCTGAATAGCCATTCAGAGTTCTATTTCTCGCTGACAAGCTCTGTCGCCAATCCAACATGCAGAATCGGCTGAAAAGAGCTGACGGCGTCCGACTAGAGCCAACTGTTGTAGAGCAGCATGAAGATTCTTCAAAACTTCTCCTTTTGTGTTCCACAGATAAACAAGAAGAATTTGGGTTTGGAACAACATGAGGGTGAGTTCAATTAATTTTCATTCTTGTGTCAACTATTTCTTGCCTTCTTGAACTGAGCAGGATGTTTAGATTTTTGAAAGTTACAATTCATTATGCATCAAACTTCTATTTGAAAGGAACCAAAGAAATTGTGATTTATTATATGAAAAAAAAATAATGCTAACTCAATCGTCAAAAGTTCTGAAGGGGCATCAACACAGTGAGATGTAACAAAAAAAAAACCCACCATGGTCACTATGTTTTGGTGCCCTGGGACACCAAACTCTGAATGGAGTTTACAAATTGGTGTTTTATAATCAACAAATAATACATAATTTAAAGTAAAGAGTAGCAAGAGATGGGTTAAAGCAATGGGAGTGAAGAACAAGAGAGAGCAAGAAAAGTGGGAGGGCATGCCTGAGGTGAGACAAATGAAAAAAATGCACAGACCTTTGAATCCAGCGCGGTCTGCTTCTGTAAATGAGAAATGGTGCCACAATCAAAAGTAGTAAGACCCCCAAAAGCACAGGCCGTCCTAAAGGCCTTAACTATAGGGTGCCATAGGGCTGCACGATAAATCGAAATGGAATTGAAATCGCAATTCGACAGAAGCTGCGATTGTCATGCGTATCTTTCAGTGAAGCACGGTTCTGTGATCAGCAGTAAATCTCAATTCAAAGGCCAGAGGTCGCTCTCACTCTGAAACTCCAAATACGCCTCGCAGAAGAAACCCAGAAAATGCCTATAGCGGTAGCTGGATAAACAGAAGATTTAACCGCTTTTATTGATTCAACGTGACTAATAAACACACGATTATGACAATATATGGTTTATCGGAGTTATTATTATTATTATAATTTTCATTAAAATAAAGTATATTTATAATGCAATGCCTTTATCACTGCTTAGAATACTATGAAATATGTTGCGTGCCTTATTCTGTGTAAGAAGCCACATCATCTCACAGAAGGATTTATTTCAAACACTCGACTGACGTTATGAAGTGAGTTTGGAGTAAAAATATGTTATTAAATGTGGTATTTTCACATCATCACGTGCTTTCAGATGGAGTAGCTTTTACAGCTCTGTATAGTAAATGCTGCTCCATCTGAAAGCACGTGATGATTACAGAACCGGCTTTACTGACAAAATGCGCATGACAATTGCATTCGATTAATCGTCCAGCCCTAGGGTGCCATGTTGGCCTCTAATGGCGCTTTTCCACTGCATGGTACGGCACGGTACGGTTCACTTTTTGGGGGTTTTCCACTGGGTACAGTACCTGGTACTTTTTTTAGTACCACCTCGGTTGGGGTTCCAAGCGTACCGTACCGTTACCAAAACGTGACGTGTAAACTCTGCTGATCACGGACTGGCCGGAGAAAATCGTCACTACCTGCGTCACTGAACTTGCGACATGAGACACAAACAGACCCGCTAGATTTAAATCAGCACAGCCAGCGAAGGATCGAACGCAACTGTTTTGAACGAGCGCACCTTTTTTTAACAACCAAAAAGTGGCTGTTCCCCCTGTTGCGGAAGAACAGACGTTCCTCTTGTTGATAGCAGAGGAGCGGATCCAGCGAGAGCTTGATGGGGCGACACGGAATGAAAACGTTTTTTTAGGAGTCGCGGCAGTAGAGGCGGCTCAACTATAACGATATGTGAATAATCCCGCCCACTCTAAAGCGATACTAAATTGCAGTGGAAACGCAAACCGAGCCGTGCCGTACTGAGCCGAGTCGTACCACGCAGTGGAAAAGCGCCATAAGAAACTACCTCTTGAGGGAGGCTTGCAATTAATATTCATTATTTAACTTTGTAACACAAAGCTAGGGGTCTGAATACTTTTGCAAGGCACTGTATTTTGTTCTATTTTAATGCCTGTTTCCGATCCAAATATTTCATCTATGGGTGGAATCTGTATCATTCAAACCTTAACTAGTTTACACTTAAAAGAACAGTTCACCCAAAAATGTCATAATTTACTCACCCTCATGTTGATCCATGTATGACTTCTGGATTCAGAAAACCATGAGGGTGAGTAAATGATGACAGAATATGTGGGTGAACTATCCCTTTAAGGACAGGAAGTGTTTTTAGGGAATTTTGAAAGATTGTGAGTGAGATTTTTTTTTTTTTTACATTTTCCATTGAAACCAATATAAACACAATAATTCATGTCGTACAAAATTTTTTACTTTTTACATTAAGTTTTTTTTTGTTTGTTTCTAAAGAAAAACAGACTGCAAAATTACTCAAATTGCACCCAAAATTACTCACAGCACAGGGGCAAAAATGTCTTGAAGACCAAAAGTTCATACATTATATATAGCTTAATTATATTAGCAACAAGAAATGTTGTATTTTGAAATCAAACTGCTGCATCAAATTACACATACACAAAAAAACCCTTAACACACAAACAAAAGCTTAATGCTTACTGTTTTCATGGTCACCATCTTCTTCTGGGATGCCCACATACACCATTACGTTGACGGCATCGGATACATCCAGATGCAGGTTAGTGGTGCCAACCTTCCTGTCTTCTGTGGAGATCAGACCTGGGAGGGACACGGCAAAGGGCAGAGGTTAAAGAGCTGTCAGTGTATTCCTCATAAGCAGTGGCGAGGATGTTGCATGTACATCCCTTACCATAAGCATTGTACATTTTAGGACCCAGATCTGGCCGAACGAAGAAGTTTGGAAGACGAGAGGCCAAGTTGAGCCGGCCATCTCTCTTTGTGTACTCTGGCAGAGGAAGGTTCTCCATGAGATCATCAAACCTGCAAAAAGGGGGACATAAGTAATCTAATTCATAAACATTTCAACACACTGGCTGCTTCCAAGCCAAGATCCCATAGCTAGTGGTCGACCGATATGTTGCCAAGGCTGATATATAGACCGTTATTTGGCATTTTTTAATTATCAGTATCGGACAATAATTGTTTTTCTGTTTGGCCGATATGTCAGAAGTGGAAACTTTTAACTTGTCAGCAACCAGGATTGACAACGCTGAGTGCACAGAGCTCCTATTGTCCGTCTTCATTAGTTTGCGGTCACTGTGTAACAGTTCTAATAAACTGTTATACAGAGCTTTTAAACAAAATTAGTTAAGAGCATATGAAAAGTATTATAGCATTTGCTTTTCTATTACTAGTAATAAAGGCAAACAGTGTAATGTTTTCTCATCTACCATCAGCAAATATGCATTTCATTTAAACAAGTCTGAATATCTAATAAACATTTAATTTCACTAACCTTGCTGTGCTTTGCTGCTATGTCGTATTCATGTATGTAATATTTGCTCTAACTAGTGTTGCATGATATACCGGAACTAAAAAAAGTATCGCAATCAGCGTTGGGGAAAGTTACTTCAATCAGTTACTGCAATCACAAAATTGCAGTACTCCATAAAAAAAGTAACAAATTACGTTACTTAGTTACTTTTTAGGAAAAGTAATGCTTTATGTTACTTTTGCATTACTTTTTGTCTCCTGGGCTGGGCTTGCTTATTTGTTTTTCAATAACAAAATAAACAAAAGTTATATTTTTTCAACTGTAAAGGCCGAAAATTAATGAATAAGCCGCAGGCTGAAGGAAGTAGCTCTGCACCTCACTCTCAATTTTCTGTCAACGGGGATAGGAGAGCCGTCAGTCAATAAATGAGAAAACAAAGTAAAGTAATCATGATATACATTGTTATAGTGAAATAAAATGACTCGTATCGTGAAATTAGATTTTGGTCATATTTCCCACCCCTAAGTCAAATGAGTGCGATTTATTTTGTAACACGTGAACTTGTAACAAATACTCTTCCTGTTGTGTTATATTTTTGGTCATGGTATCGGTTCAGTAGTAGTATCGAGATACTTTAGTCAGGTATCATATCGAAGTCAAAATTTTGGTATTGTGACAACACTAGCGCTAACTTGCAGAAGCTTACCATATTACTGACTGTAATCTATAACAGAATTACAGAAAGAAGTTGACATCTAAATACATTTCTTTACAGATATCAAGTAAAATTTTTTCATTTTCATAAATATTATGTAAATATATATGTATACAAATTGTATTTCAGCAATTGTTATATATGTGTTTCTACTATCTTTAAATTAAATGGTGTAATATGATATTTATCTATATATATTGGCTTTTTACCGCCCAACGGTCACCATGCTCTCCAAGATATCGGCATCAGCAATCAAAAAATTAATATCGGTCGACCAACAGCTATGGCACTAAATAACATGCCAGCAAACCTACCGAGTGGGCATCATGTCTCTGAAATCTTCTCCAGGAGGCCAGTCTTTAAGTTTTAGTACCATAGGTTGGCCATCTCCACCCTGCAAACGCTCTAGAGAATAGAGGAGAAGATAATAGACCACCAGGTCAAAGTGGTTTCACGGCCAGCTGGATATGGTAACAATTAAAGTGTTAGTTCACCCAAAAATGAAAACGGGCTTGTGTTTTACTCACCCTCGAAGCATCCTAGGTGTATATGACTTTCTTCTTTCAGACGAATCCAGTCGGAGTTATATAAAAAATTGTCCTGGCTATTCCAAGCTGTATCATTGCAGTCAGCGGGTGTTGCAGTTGAACAGTCCGCAAGTCATCAAATAAAGCGCGCGCATTCATAATAAAACGTGCTTCACACGGCTCCGGGGGGTGAATAAATGCCCCCTGTAGTGAATCCATGCGTTTTTGTAAGAAAAATATCCATATTTCAAACGCAATAAACACTTTTCTCTCACTTCCGTAATCTTTCATATGCGGAAGGCGTTCCGGCGGAATATATACTAGATATATTAGTCTCGCAAGTTTGTTTAATAGGAGCAAAGGAAGAAAAGTTTCCTTACTTTAGCAAAGGAAAACCAGTCTCCTCTTGGGGAAGTCATGGCCTAACGGTTAGAGAGTTGGACTCGTAACCCAAAGGTTGCGGGTTTGAGTCTCGTACCGGCAGGGATTGTAGGTGGGGGGAGTGAATGTACAGCGCTCTCTCTCACCTTCAATACCACGACTGAGGTGCCCTTGAGCAAGGCACCGAACCCCCCAACTGCTCCCCGGGCACCGCAGCAAAAATGGCTGCCCACTGCTCCGGGTGTGTGTTCCCGGTGTGTGTGTTCACTGCTGTGTGTGTGCACTAAGGATGGGTTAAATGCAGAGCACTAATTCCAAGTATGGGTCACTCACTCGAAATCCTCCGACATTTTTCTTTGCAAATCTTCGGTTTGTACTTCTAATTCGTGACCGGCGTTTTGTTTTGTGTTGTTGTCTCTCCGCATTCATCACGCAATGCCGACGTGCTACGTCATCCGCCGGCACGGCTTCCGCATATGACAGTTGGCGGAAGTGATTTAAAAGTGTTTATCACGTATGAAATATGGATATTTTTCTTACAAAAACGCATGGATTCACTACAGAAGGCCTTTATTCGCCCCCCAGAGCGTGTGAAGCATGTTTTATTATGAATGCGCGAGCTTTATTTGACGACTTGTGGACTGTTCAACTGCAACACCCGCTGACTGCAATGATAGAGCCTGGAATAGCCAGGACAATGTTTAATATAACTCCGACTGGATTCGTCTGAAAGAAGAAAGTCATATACATCTAGGATGCTTCGAGGGTGAGTAAAGCACAAGCCCATTTTAATTTTTGGGTGAACTAACCCTTTAAGGATGGTAATAATCAAATCAACAATGAAAAGATCCAGGCTTGCTCAGACGTTAAAGTGTCTGTACTCACTGGAAATAACCTGGAAGCCATCCCAGAAGTCTCGGACTTTAACATCAGAGATGATGGCACAGTTCCTACAGTTGACCAGGTCCACATCCTGGTCTCCAAACTCCTGGCTGAAGGACTCTGGCTTCCATAATTTTTCCTTCAGCTTCTTGTGTATGCCTGAGACCAGCACAGGCTAACCAAGAAAAAGCTATTACCCTCAGCAGAACGTAACCCATCAAATAAATGTGCATCCATTTGATCTTCACCGCTCACCTGTCCTTGTTTCCAGCACTCTCTGAAGATCTTCCAGTTGTTGCTGTTGCTGGGGTCCTGCAGGCAGAGCAAACGGCCATCGCACAGCCAGGAGTGTGAAGTGTGGGGGTCTAATACACTGAGACCCATCAAGCCCTCTCTGCGAGGAACAGCCCCTGACTCGCCGCCTTCTGCTGACCCTGACGAACGTCGACCCTCTGCCATCTTCGTCTCCACCACTGATGCAATGATATGATCCAAGAAGTTAGGAAGTCCTCCCTTCATTTTATCTGCCTGCTTAGGAGAGAAAGAAAAAAATTTATTTATAAAAAAAAATTTAAAAAAAAATATTATGAACATTTATTTTCTTATGTCGGTCTCTACAACATTTACACGACTGTTCAAAATTTTGTTGTCAGTAAGAATTTAGGAAATTAACACTTTTATTCAGCAAGGGTGCATTAAATTGATAAAGTGATAGTAAAGACATTTATAATGTTACAAAAGTTTCCCATTTAAAATAAATGTTCTTCTTATCAACTTTCTATTCGTAAGAAGAATCCTGAAAAATTTTATCACGGTCTCCACAAAAATATGAAGCAGTACAACTGTTTTCAACATTAATAAAAATTTAAATAATAATGAATGTTTCTTGAGCAGCAAAGCATCATGTTAGAATGATTTCTGAAGTATCATGTGACACTGAAGACTGGGTAATGATGCTGAAAATATAGCTTTTCTATCACAGGAATAAATTACATTTTAAAATATATTCACATAGAAAACAGATATTAGAATTTTTGATCAAAACATATGCAGCCTCGGTGAGCATAACAAAATCTTACAGACCTCAAACTATATAAACACAACGTATTTTTATGTAAAAAAATATATTTACATTTTATGTAAATATATATAATATAATACAATTAAGTGTGATATATAGTTATTTTTGCTAATGTTTTAAATAATACATACATATTAAGTAATCTCTATTTTTAATAATGTAGTTCTAGTGATCCTTAAGAATTTTTTTCCCTCAGTGGTCACAAAACAAAAGATTATTCGGTCCCACTTTATATCAAGTGGCCTTAACTACTATGTACTTACATTTAAATTAATCATTTGGTACAATGCGCTTATTGTGTACATACATGTTTTTACATTGTACTTGTATTAAAACACCTGCATGTAATTACAACTGTAATTAATTTCTGTAATTACATTTATAATTACACTGTTGACCCATCCCTTACACCTTACCCCTCCCTTAAACCTACCAATACCACCGAACCTGTCCCTAACCTTACCCGTATCCCACCTCAATAGCAGCAAAAGTGTTTTGTAATACAATATGAACACAATAAGTACATTGTACTTATTTTTTGATGTATGTACATAGTAGTTAAGGCCACTTAATATAAAGTGGGACCGATTATTCATAAATTAATTATATTATTCATAACAAATGTCTGTCATTAGTACAAAAACAGCTTCATATGAATTCAAAACAAGCATCAAAACGTAAAGATAAAGTTACGTACACCAGCAGTGGAGAACACAGAAGGAAAGGGGACACCTCCCTCGGCGGGACCTTGCGGGAGCTTTCCGGGGCCAGAGTTCAGCAGATCTCGGAGACTAGTGCCCTCTGCTTTGGGTTGGGAAGGGCCAGCACCCAGCAGCAGACTATTGAAGAGCTTGGGACTAGACCCGGAGTGTTTGGAAAGGGTGCCGAAGGAGTCCAGACCAAATGGAGTACGAGAGTCACGACCCATCACGGAGCGCAGAGACTCTGAGATAAAACAAGAGGAAGAGCTTGAGCACATTGTGTCTGCTAAGATTTACCAGCAAATGTTTTATAAGGGGTTTTCACACAGGAGGAACCTTTTCATAGCTCCTAGAACTACTGGCGGAAGTGCCACCTTTTTGTCGTGTTCGCACAACAAAAAGAACTAGGAACGGTTTTAGTTCTAGGTTAAAAGTATTTACTCCATGAACATGGAAAACAGCAATAACAGCATTTACCAGTTGTCTGCAGTGTAGTGTTCTTTTCTCAGCCTCGATGATAACAATGCAAGTTGTCATAGGAGGTTTCGTCTTTTAGCCCAACTTTTTGCTCTTTCAATCACGTCAATTGTTATGGTTACATTCCATCTTGGTTATAACGAAACCCACGACACACAACAAAAACAGCTCCATTCACCAGTTGTTGACATTTGTAAATGCCGCACATAAATACTTTGTTAGTGGCAAGTCATGTTAATAAACACTAGGGCTGGGTAAAAAAATATCGATATCTCGATTTTAATCGATTCTAATTTTTACGGAACTATATCGATTCTTAAATCCCAATCGATTATTTTAGCCTGTTTTCAGTTAATGGATGGAACATTGAAGGACATCTCCCATCAAATATATTGCAATAAGCATTGTGCTTTGGTACTTTTCATATGAAACTAATTCTCAGATTTAAAATTCCATCCATTGTATTGCAGTATTTAAACAATAAATGGCATTTTGGCGCTGTTTAATGTGGAGTGACAGATCGCTGTAGCGCGGCACGCCTCAGTTCAGTAAAAGCGGCAGCACAAGGCACACGTGAACTGATCATCTCCTCCACATTAATACCAGTTTCAGCACAAAATAAACATGACTAAACATCCGAAGGCAAGTTAAAAGAAAGAGTACAACTTTACAATCCGTATCCTGTCTCATGTAATCTCTCAATCAGCGTTTCAGTCGCGCAAAGACGTCAATATAACGGTTTGTAAACAATGACACGTAATGTCACATTTACCTCAGAAAAACATATTTGGTGACCATAAACTCATTAGTAAGCTAGAAAAATAAACTGCAGAGAGGGGCGTTTTGCTATATATATGCACCATAATAACATATTCATTATCATTTTGACTGTTCTTCAATGTTTCATTTATGTTTGAATAAATCCAAGTTTTTGACAGCCACCATTTAAATGTTAGCCTGTTTTCAGTTAATGGATGGAACATTGAAGGACATCTCCCATCAAATATATTGCAATAAGCATTGTGCTTTGGTACTTTTCATATGAAACTAATTCTCAGATTTAAAATTCCATCCATTGTATTGCAGTATTTAAACAATAAATGGCATTTTGGCGCTGTTTAATGTGGAGTGACAGATCGCTGTAGCGCGGCACGCCTCAGTTCAGTAAAAGCGGCAGCACAAGGCACACGTGAACTGATCATCTCCTCCACATTAATACCAGTTTCAGCACAAAATAAACATGACTAAACATCCGAAGGTAAGTTAAAAGAAAGAGTACAACTTTACAATCCGTATCCTGTCTCATGTAATCTCTCAATCAGCGTTTCAGTCGCGCAAAGACGTCAATATAACGGTTTGTAAACAATGACACGTAATGTCACATTTACCTCAGAAAAACATATTTGGTGACCATAAACTCATTAGTAAGCTAGAAAAATAAACTGCAGAGAGGGGCGTTTTGCTATATATATGCACTATAATAACATATTCATTATCATTTTTACTGTTCTTCAATGTTTCATTTATGTTTGAATAAATCCAAGTTTTTGACAGCCACCATTTAAATGTTTATATTTAAAAAAATGAATTGACATAGAAGTATTATTATGTAGCTAATTGTAATTTTATTATTTTAAAAACTTCATTAAGTGTAATTTTAGCAGTTGTATATTAGCCTACAAATCAGTCAATTTTAACCTTCAATATTATAGTAATGTAGTACCAACTGTATATTTTACAGCATTAGTTGAGAGATTTTTTTTTCCTTGAGAAAATTTGGCATGTACTGTATCTGATATATATCCAAAATAATCGATATTGAATCGAATCGATAATCGAATCGAAAGCTTGTGAATGAGAATCGAATCGGATCGTGAAATTTGTGTCAAAACCCAGCCCGAATAAACAGTCTACAAATGTTAGTAACACATTAGTTAATGTTGGACTAGTGTACACTTTACAACAAGGTTTTACAATTCCCTTAGTAAATACTTTGTTAGAGGTTAGTCAGTCTACAAACATGAATAATATCTCCGTTGATGTTCAGACGGTTTCCACTTTCAAATTAAGTTTACCAATAGCCCAAATCAGTGGCCAAATGGCGAGTTAGTATTGAAAACTTCATTAAGTGTAATTTTAGCAGTTGTATATTAGCCTACAAATCAGTCAATTTTAACCTTCAATATTATAGTAATGTAGTACCAACTGTATATTTTACAGCATTAGTTGAGAGATTTTTTTTTCCTTGAGAAAATTTGGCATGTACTGTATCTGATATATATCCAAAATAATCGATATTGAATCGAATCGATAATCGAATCGAAAGCTTGTGAATGAGAATCGAATCGGATCGTGAAATTTGTGTCAAAACCCAGCCCGAATAAACAGTCTACAAATGTTAGTAACACATTAGTTAATGTTGGACTAGTGTACACTTTACAACAAGGTTTTACAATTCCCTTAGTAAATACTTTGTTAGTGGTTAGTCAGTCTACAAACATGAATAATATCTCCGTTGATGTTCAGACGGTTTCCACTTTCAAATTAAGTTTACCAATAGCCCAAATCAGTGGCCAAATGGCGAGTTAGTATTTTTCATCCTTTGTGTGTGTTAGCTGCTACATAAACTTATGTGTATATATGTAGTATAAATTAAGCCTGGCTCACACTGTGCGATTTTGGCTACGATTTGGTTGTCTGAGACAAATTTTGAAAATCCTAAAAGATTCCTATAATCCTAGGCTAAAATCTGTAGTCTTTGATCGTTAGTTTGACATGTTCACTGACAGCCGATTAATGGCCATTGCTATGAAATTTGACCTCTGACGAACTTCTGGCAGTGTCAGAAGATTTGGCACACAGTCCTGCAGTGTGACATCTCCATCAGAATTAATGCTAGATATTTCTTCTAACCGCATAAACTCCGGCGCTCTCGTCCTCAACTCACGGAATACATATGATTCTTTGCCTTTGCTATGATAAACACCGGTTGCGCTGCTGTTTTCAAGTGGGTGTGTAGTGCTGCTTGCACTATTCTGCATAAATACGCCAGTATTGCCGCCATTCATATACTTTTAATGATAGCCAACATTACAGCCCC